ATAGATAGATAGATAGATAGATAGATAGATAGATAGATAGATATAAGGTAGATAAGATACAGGTATGATGATAGAGATATAGATATATAAGGTAGATAAGATATAGATATGATGATAGATAGGTAGGTAGATAGACAGACAGACAGATAGATAGATAGATAGATAGATAGATAGATAGATAGATAGATAGATAGATAGATAGATAGATAGATAGGATATAGACAAATATAGGTAGATACGGTAGATAAGATATAGATAAGATAGATGATAGATAGATAGAGACAGAGACAGAGATAGGTAGAAGTTGGGCAGAGCAGAACTGTGTGAGAAAATTTAGGAGAAACTTTAGGTTTGTATTCAGAAGCAAGAATCAGCTTTGGGCAACAATCTCCAACTGAGTGCCTGGGAATTGGGTGAAAATATCCACCGATCTTGCAAAAACTGGACATGCCTGGAACCTGGAGAACGCCAAAAGCTGTTCCCTTCTGGATGAGGGCACCGTGTTCACCGGGGACAAGGAAGACCTGGAATAAGCAGCCTCCATTGTAAGGGCAGAAGAAGGAGCTGAATGAAAAATACATTACTATTTTTAAAACTGGGACACGGTTGCTGGGGCAACCAGCATCTCCTGAAGCAGGTGGTAGGATGATGGCAGAATGTGCAAAGGTGACGGCAGGGGGAATGGTGGGAGGGGGTCAGAGGTCATTTCCAGGCGGATAAGCGTAATCCCCTGGTGGTTCCTTGGGAGAAATAATCTCATCTCCCAAGGTTCAATAAACTTAGCGGCCATCTTTTTGGGGGAGTGGGGAGGAACTTCCTTCAGCCTCAAGGCCAATGTGTCATGTCCCTGGTGGAGACTGACTCTGACAGAGAGGAGGAACAGCCGACAGGGAGTGGAAATGTGGCTCTGGAGGTTGTGGAGGAGGCTGGGGAAGGGCAGAGGCCGGCTGGGCAGACAGAGGAGGACCCAGGCCCATCCCCTCTGCATCCTAGGGCAAGCAGAGAGGAGAGAATAAGGGAGAGACATGGTCTATGGGGGAGGAGAGGGCCTTGATCCCCTTCAATGGTCTGCAGCTGTGACAACTGAATAAGAGGATGGACCTGTGTAAGGGCGAAAGCTGGAAACAAAGCGTGGAAATATCTCTAGTTTATTGTTCCTCTCTGAGTTTGGCGTCCTTCCCAGTGTCTGTTCTGTTATCTGTGGACGTCCTCCAGCCTTATCTTGCCTGTGTTGTTTTTTACTCTTTATCATTTAAATGGCATTTCCTCCTTCTTGTAACTGTTTGTGTGGGAGTTTTTGGTCTCCAGTCAAGGATATTTGGAGCTTGAAGCAAACTGAAGGAATAAAAGGGGATTCGCCTGCTTTTTTGTGACTGTGTTTATTTTGTATCCCACCCGGGGTCATCACACAATGAGTCAACTCAAGGAGTAAAGCTATTTATCTTATAAAAATTTATAAGCCACCCATCTCAGTATCAAATGCGATTCTGATGCTACCTCACCTGGCAAAGGGAGGTAGAATATAAATATGATTTTTTAAAAAATCCATGAATTAACTATTTATCATGACCAGAATGCAGATTTGCAAACATTAAAAACTACATTGGGGGGAGGGTTATCTTTTTTCCTCTTGTTTGTTTTTACAGCTCCATCTTGATCAGAGAACAAAATAATTGCAATTAACTTAGGAAAAGCAGATAAATTATGCCAGATGGGGGTTTATTAACACCTGGAGCTGCAAATGCCGAAGGAATACACCCTTGTCGTTCCTTATTACTAAGATTTGATTGCTGTTTGCGGGGAAAAATCATAAACCAAATTTCTTCGGTGTTCTTAAAAATTGTTCTCGAGGAGAGAACAATTTTAAAGCCAAATTCTTCAAGAAATGCACAATATATGTTGCAAAAATCCTGGAAGCTTGCCTTCTTATATTCTCAGTGTAACTCCATATACTGTACAAATGCTGGAACCTGCCTGCTATCCTATTTATTTCTGAAATTTACAGTGTGTCTTACACATACGTCTCCGCACTGCCATCATTTGACACAACTCTGAGCAGCTTACAAAAGGCAACCATAAAAACGTAGTAAAGCTATAGAATAAAGGCCTGGCAAATTCAGGCATCGGTTGTTAAAGGAATTCGGTGGAAGCACAACTTTTGGCAAAATCGTTTGTTTTTCTCTGCGTTGGTGAGGACAAAACAGGTGATTAGGTTAAGTTAAACAGATTTAAACAGAAAATCCCCCCAAAACAAAACTCGGCCTCAGATTCAAACTGTGATGCAATCTAGGATTTTGAATCCTGAATTGTTGCAAGCATCAAATGTTTAGCTGCATCCAACCGGGTGAAGAACCAGTTGGTGAATGCAAGACCTCTGCTATTGGTTCTCTCCTAGACTTAGAGAGATACACTTTCTCTATCAAAATATTATGATGAACTTCACCTCTAGTTCTAAACTATTTTATTTGATTATTACCTCTGCCCTCTGGTGCCCATTACCAGAACTGCAGTCTCCAAGGACCTCTGTCTGTAGGAGCATATTTGAGGTTGGTCAACTCATTGGTAGAGTAACCATGAGGCCCTTAGAAAAGATATTCAAATGCTGCATCAACAGAGGGATAGAATCAAGATCACGTGAAATGTTGATACCGCTTTATAAGCCCTTGGTAAGGCCACACCTGGAATATTTGCATCCAGTTTTGGTTGCCACAATGTAAAAAAAAGATGTTTAGCAGAGTGATGGCATTGGGGACAAACTGTCCTTGTGTCTGGTTGTCCTGGTGTGCAGTGCTCTATAGCGTCGTTTTGAGGGAAGGAGTTGAAGCAGTTTATGTCCAGGATGTGAGGGGTCTGTAGATATTTTCACAGCCCTCTTTTTGACTCATGCAATATATTGGTCCTCGATGGAAGGCAGGTTGGTAGCCATTGTTTTTTCTGCAGTCCCAATTACTCTCTGGAGTCTGTGTCTGTCCTGCTGGGTTGCAGATCCTTCGCCTGTGAGATAGAGGTGACTTTTCAGCACCCCAAATGGATGCTATTTAGAAATGAAGCTATACAAAGCCTTTCTCTGCATCCAGGGAATCAAACTGACCGACAAAGCAGAACCAGAGACAGGGAAATTAATAAGCCCTTGGTGTTTCTGTACACATACAAAATGCACGCGCACACCCACCCACCACAAATCTCTTTGATTCAATTTTCTGGCTGTTTCCCTTCCCTTCTCTTCCACTACCATCTGTTGTCCTTCACGCAAACTGATCTTGGCATCCTGGGAAGAGGCTCAGGGTAAGCAAATCTCTCCGGCTTTATCGGCTAATGGGAGACAGCACTAATTGGAGCCAAAAGGAGGCCTTCTGACTCACCCTCTGGTCTGGCCCTTTTGCTAATCTAAACTAATGAGAAAATGAGCTTAGAAATGGCCTCAGGGGACAACATGATTTCCTAACACCCTTGATATTGTCTGAAGGGAGGGGGAAAAAATTGCAGGCAAGAAGCTTTATTGCAGAAACAAAATGTTCCACTGTAGTTGGGTGTAATTTCGAATTTGCTTTCTATGAAACTGCGAGAGCAAAATGAGTATTATTATACAGGCTGGATCGGCACTTTTCCCCTCCCCTAGTTCTGTATTGGGTTTTTTTTTTTTTTTGCAAAAGCATTAATGGTTCACTTGATTCATTGGCTTAATCCGGCGTTTCATTGCACCCCTTTCCTTAAGCTAGCAAATAAATCAGATCTTTGCTCTTTTAAACCAATTAGTCCCTTCTAAATCATTTAAACAAATACAGCCAAAAACTTTGCCTTTTTTATTTCATTTGGTGGGCTCTGCTTCTAAATCGTTTCGCCATTTTTAAACCAAGCATTCCTAACAGGCATCCGTGGTCGAATTATTTCTCCGCCTTCGGTATCTTTTTCCACCTTTTTTTCCCCTCTGCAAATACTAACCCGCACGCCGAAAGGAGAACTGCGCCTGCGCGTGCAAAAGCCCAGCTCGGCGTCTCTCTCTCGAGAGAGAGCCACCGCGCAGGCGCCCCGCGGTCCGTTTTTCCCCCACCCCCACCCCGCGGGGACATCCGTCTGCCTCCAAGACGCCTGCGCGAGGGCGAAGAGGCCGCTGGGAAAGGAGGGGCGGGATGGCGCACGCGCGCAAAGGCCTCGGCCGCTAGCCGAGCGTAAACAAGGCGCCGCTGAGGAAAAGGGAGATGAGGAGGAGACGGCCGGAGAAGAAGAAGATGATGATGATGATGATGATGATGAGCCGGGCCGGGCGCCTTCGAGGCTGAGCCTCGCCGTCCTTGCTTGCGCTCCCCACCCACCGGGCGAAGGACGAGGCCGCCATGAACTTAGCCAGCCAGAGCGGCGAGGCCGGCTCCGGCCAACTGCTCTTCGCCAACTTCAACCAGGACAACACGTAAGGGAGAGGGGAGGGGGCGTGGCCAGAGAGGAGCGCGCACGCGCGTGCCCGACACGGCGGGGTGGTGGGGGAGCAGGAGGCAAAGTTCGAAAGCGAGGGGGGGGGGGGGGCGTGGCCGGAGGAGGGGGCGTGGCCAGAGGTGCCCCCGCTACCCCCCCCCGCTCCCCTCCCCCCTTCCCAGCTGGTTGTGGAGTATGGGCCTCGGGGTGGGTGGGGTAGGTGGAAAGGCTACCTACCCTAAGCCATGCCCCCTCTGGGATTTCCACCCTAGGAAAGGGGTGGGGTGGGGGAGGTGGGAAGAGGGGGTACCCAGAGGCCATCCAGCCCTTCACCCCTGGGCTGGGGAGCCCCATTGAGCCTTCCTGGAAGAAGAGGGCAGCCCAACCTTCTTCTTAGAGGCCTCTAGTAGGGCAGGACCCCCACACACACACCCTCAATCTCCGGGGAGGTGGAGGTGGTCCCAAGTAGGGGTTCCATAAAGGCCAGATAACCAAGATATGGGGGGGGGGGGGTTGTCTCATCGGGATAGGTAGACAGACAGGGTAGACAAGACAGACAGACAAATTGATCATAGATAGGGGATGGATGGTTGATAGGCAGGCAGACTAGACAGGATAGACAAGGCAGATAGATTGATAGATTAGACAGACAGGATAGGTTGGATAGATAGACAGACAGACAGACAGATAAGATATAAATAGATGATAGATAGAGATAGCCAGAGATAGAGATAGAGGCAGGCAAAAGTTTGGCCTTGTGAGAAAATTTAGGAGAAACTTTAGGTTTGTATTCAGAAGCCAGAATCGGCTTTGGGAATGGAAGGTTAACCAAGATATGTGGGGGGGAGACTTGTCTGGCCTAATACTGGCCTAATACCCCCACCTTAAGTGGGACCTACTTAAAAAGGTAAATTGGGGTGCAGGGTTGGCGATTCCAGAGAAAAAACCACTTTAAAAGTGAATCAGAGCGCAGGATTCATGACTCGTGGGAAAACGTGCACTTTCCCATTGAGAAAAATCCCTTCAAACCTCTCGTGCTTTGCAACCCCTGCCCTGAGAAAAATCTATATTGTTGTATGTACATTGAGAGCTTACGCACCGGGAACAAACTCCTTGTGTATCTAATCGCACTTGGCCAATAAAGAATTCGATTCTGTTCCAAATTGGATTTTTTATTCCTTGGTTCTTGTTTCCTTCGCTGATGTAGTAACTTGGGGCGGTAGAGTGTTACTATTTTCTCCTGGTTTTATTTTTGTTTTTGTTTTTTAACTCTAGCATATGGTGTACGTGGCTCAGAGTTGCACGAACAGATAAATTACGAGTAAAATGTTTAAATTCATATCCGTTGCGTTGATGATGACACAAATCTAGCCATCTCATCCTCTCCCTTCTCCTCCTTCCTTCCATCTTTCCCAACATCATCCGAAGAGTCCTCTCTTCTCATTTGTTGGCCAGAAGAAGTTGAATTCAGCTTCATGATCTGCCCTTCCAAAGGACAGCCAGGGTTGATTTAGGAGAATGTGAAAACCAAGCAAAGTTTTTCTTTTTCTCACCGTGGTACATGTATACATCAGAACTAGACTGTTGTTTCTATGTGTTACATATGTGTGGGTGTATGCATAATTTTGTGTTTATTTTGTCCTGTTTCTGTGGTGGATATTGGTGATCCTTTGAGAGCTGTATGCAACAAAATTCGATTTTAATGTATGCTGATTAGTGTACGTTTAAAGTGACAATAAAGTTATTCTTAACTTCTAAGCAGTTTGAGGTTAGATTTGTTGCTGATTCAGCTCTGGACAGGCCTGCTCAGTGGTAGTCCCTATTTTAAGGAATCTTCCTTTCCTGGAACTATGGATGGCGCCTGTTGGCTGAGGAATTCTGGGGGTTGAAGTCCACTCATCGTGAAGCCGCCAGCTGGTTGGGAAACACCGTGCTCAGCAGTGGCTCAGGCATTCTGGGAATTGAAGTCCACCCATCTTACCAGTTGCCAAGATTATGAAATACTGCTTTAGGGAAGCACACTGACAGCTCACCCTGTCAGATCTTTCTGTCTTTGCAATGATAAAAAAAGCACCTTGCAGCTTCTTGAGTCCAGCTAAAAAGGCTCAGGTAATAAACGAAAATGAAAACCAAACCAAACCACAATTCTTGACTTATTTAAATGTCTTTGGAGATTCTCAATCATTCAGGTCATGGGCATCCCATAGATGTTTTTCAGCTGGACTTTATTGGTTTTCTCCTTGAAAACATTTCGCTTCTCATCCAAGAAGCTTCTTCAGTTGTGAACAGAGAGTAGAATACATAAGAGTAGAATAGAAATTGAATAGAGAAAAGAATAGAAAAGAGAAGAGAAGAGAAATAATAAAGTAGAAATAATAGAAGAATAGAGTAGGATAGAAATAGAATAGAGAAAAGAATAAAGAGAAAAGAGAATAGAAATAGAATAGAAATAATAAAAGAATATAGAATAGAAATTGAATAGAATAGAGAAGAGTAGAAATAATAGAAGAATAGAGTAGAATAGAAATTGAATAGAGAGAAGAGAAAAATAATAAAATAGGAATAGAGTAGAGTAGAATAGAATAGAATAGAATAGAATGATGGCGAACCTTTTTGTCGTCGTGTGCCGAAAGTGTGCACATCTGCCTGCACCCATAATGCAATGCATGTGTGACACCACCACCCCGTGCTTCCCCCTATGCATGCGCACGCATCTCCCGCGTGCGCCCTGCCTCCTGCGCATGCAGGGCAGGTACCTGAAAATCAGCTGGCTGGCGGGAGGCGCGCCGACATGCGCAGTGGGACTGAGCTCGCGTGCTGGCAGAGATAGCTCTGCGTGGCACTTCCGGCACACGTGCCATAGGTTCCCCATCATGGGAATAGAACCACAAAAGCGAGGATTTGCATTAGCTCCTCGCCAACCTTCAGTGGCATTTGGTTGAGCCATATTGTTGGGCGGACCACAGTTCATGCCCAATGCCAAAGTCCTGAGCACCTTTTCACACCTAATTCTGTGTGGGAGTCACCCATTTCACTTTGAAGTAGTGTGCAAACCCAGTCTCTATCCAACCGTGGCCTCTCTTGAAGTCTTTGCTTCACAGGCTTGTTGACAACAATCGCCAATGAATCCATCTATACTATTGCAAAACATTTCTCATCGGAAGCTCATTTCAGGCCTCCTACGAAATTGCTTGCTTGCTAGAGGGCAGGTTGTTGCGTTGGCTCTGTGTGGGCACACCTGGCTTATACCGACTTGGTATTCCAGCTTTAGGTGTTGCAGCCAGATAAGGAAGATGTCCAGCTTAGCTTGTGTCGCGTTGGCTGCTTGGGTATTAAAACTATCAGATTGGCGAGTGACCTTCCCTACTTTGGGAGTAGGGAAGTTGTTTGGTCCCTAAATGAACTGTTGTAAGTCGAGGACTACCTGTACGTGCTATTTAGAAGGCTGTGTTTTTTTAAAAAATTGGCACGCGGAGCTTGACTTGAAAACTTTTGAGAGCCTTGAAAACTTGTCTTGAAAACTTTCAAGAGCCGTTTTAGCAGAAGTTTTTGGAAGGGACAGAAAAGAGGTCACTTTGATAGGGCGAGTGAACCTCTTGATGGTGCATTTGGACATGCGTGGGGATGGGGACGGGGTGGGCACGGGGTGGAAAGGACGGGCAGCTTTGGGCTCTCTCTGCCGGACCCGCCGGCCAGGGAAGCAGCGCTGCCGTCGCCTCGCCTCCCTGTCCACGGATGGGCAGGCGCTATCACTGCCTCGAGCGGCTTCTCCCAGTGGCCCCTTTGGGTTCAGGCTGGAGGGACTTGGGAAGGAAGCCAAGCTCGGGTCAGCCCGGCTCTTTCGCTTGGCAGGCAGGCGCGCACCTGCGGCTCACATTCCCGGCTCTGGCGCGGTCCTGGCGGGATGAGCGGAGAGCCCGGCGGGGAGGCGCTCGCTGCCTTGGGGAGAGCTCCGCCGCCAGGCAGGAGGGCCCACCTGTCAGCTGCGCTGGGTGCCCCAGGCGAAGCTCTTCCGCTCTGCCTGGTGCCAGGCAGGGATGGCAGCTGAGCGCGTCTCCCGGGGTGGGCTGATCCTGCACTACGGCCCCAGGAGATTTGCCTCCCTACGTGGGGTTGGGCTGCCCTCTCGGGCAGGGGCGGCTTTCTTGTACCGGTAGTAGGGTGTCGTTTTTAAAAGAATTGGCTTTGGCTTCGAAGGCGAAGGGAAGGCGGTGACAGGAGCGCCTGAAGCCGAGTGTCTCCGCTGGCTCCGGTTGCAGGGAAGAGCCCTGGCTGGCCACGGGTGGCTGCGCCAAATGCCGTGGCGTTGCTCTAAACGCCTCACCAGCACGGGGAGAAGGAAAAGCAACGGTGGTGGAAGGTCTCCCGATACGAAGTGCCCCGCCAACGCCGTGGTCAACATCCAAGCCGTTGCCGCCCACCCGCCCTAGGATGCAAGGGGGGGGAATTAAGTCACCCCCGAAAAGATGGCCTAGCCATTTTTTCGGGGGTCAAAAAAAAAAAAAAGGCCCAGCCTTATTTTGTGAGAAACACAGTAGTTGGGTTATAAAATGTCTGCAAACTCAGAGAGCACCAAGGGGAAGGAAGGAAGGAAAGGAAGGAAGGAAGGAAGGAAGGAAGGATCATTAATGATATTAGCTAGTTGGGTTATAAATGCCTTCAAGCTCAGAGAGCACCAAAGCCTCCCCAGTTCAACCCAAAACCAGTGAGCCTACCAGTAAATGATCTTCAGAGGCAGACCCACCAATATCAGGGCTAATAACCGTTGATTTCCAGGATTTCCATCAATTCGCTCAACCCTTGGTTGGATGGAGCCAGCGAGACTGGTGGCTAGCTAGCATCCCATTTCACAAGAACAAATTCCAAACATTGGTTGTAACACCTGTTGGTCAATTTCCCACTCACTTCTCTGACTGCTTATATTATGACATCCGTTTGATCGTCTTATCAAAACAAGAGTCTGACCAAAAACTCTTGGCTATGTTTCATGCGCTCCAACGTACCCCAAAAGGCAGCCTTGACTGTGGTCAAATTGTATGTTCCCCCTCTTAGAGGGCCAATAAAACAATATACCACTCTGCTGAATATTTCTTACTGCCAGATGAACAGGATTATCGTTAATCCATTTTGTTCTCCCAACACCTAGTCTTTTTTTCTTTCCTCCCCTAAATCATTAGCCAGAGAGAACACACTGTGAGTTCTGCTTGCTTTTTAGAGTCTGTTAAAATTGATAGTGACTTATAAATAATGGGTAGTATAAACTCTATAAATAATCTCGAAACCACTAAATTAAAAATACTGACTTTCCCTTTGGGGCACATTATAGAGAACCATTTTTGTTTTCTGCCCAAGTTGTACTTTCGAAAAGAAAATGAATTGCCGTGCGATCCGTGCCTGGGCTGAGATACAAATGAGTTTTTATAATCAATAGCTATTTCTCTCTTGAGGATATAACCAACCTTTGCAATAAAACGAGGTATTTTCTCTCTCACCTTTTCCGGCCTTCTCAAAGAGAAGAATTTTGCTTGGTGACAGGACTGAACACAAAATATTACTTAACTCGTCGCAAACAAATTATACAGCGATCAACCCAATAGAAATACAATACAGTATGGCTGAACCTGGAACCTTGCCCATCAGACTTGTAAACAGCGACGGTTGTAAAACGAATTGCTCCTGGCCCTATTTTTATGACCTTGTCTTTGCAGTGGACATTAACTAAATCTCCACAGTCATTAAGTGAACTAATTATTCACTAGGGTTGCAGATTTGCCGAAAAACCCAATAAGGGCTAGTTTTCGGTAAAGCGTGGTCACGCGACCACAGGATCCTGCATATGGCTTATATGTGGAGTCACGTCATGGGGTTTGGTGCCATGACTGCAAGTGGGGTAGGGCTGACTGTCGTAATTTCAAATCCAGGTCGTAAGTAGCTCTAAGGTGGGTTTGTAAGAATTTCAGGTGGCCATGGCGAGAATGGCCTAGGCACAATATTGGAAGAATGAAAATACATCCCCAGACAGAGAAGATATTCCTATTTACAATTGGTTAAATGGAAATAAAATGGGAAATATAAAATCGTTATAAAAAATTTTGGGGAATAAATATAAGATTTATTATGTAATAGGGAAAGAGTGCCACGTGGAACCCAATTGGGGAAAAAAGAAATATATGTAAATAAGAGATCATTATTGTTAATAAAGGATGTAGCAACTAAAAATGGTTGTATTGATACTAGTTTTTTTTTTTTAATTGTTATATATTGGATTCAAGGGAGTAAAATGGGAAGAATATATAAAATTAAAATAGGTGGCAAGATTCAATTGACAATGAAAGGGGATGAATATTGGATAATATATTTTAGGATATTTTCTTTTTCTCTGAAAATGATGAATGAAATAACAGGAAGGGATAAAACATATTAAAAGAAAAATGGAATAGGTAGTGATATGATATGAAACTGGATAAGAAAGCTGAAAATGTAATTATGATTATGTATGTTACAACCTGGAATCACATTGTTCACTTAAAGAGATGTTTAAGGAATAAAAATTTAAAATGTATTGCAAAAACAAAGAGAGATAAAAAGAAAAATACTGGCTTGTGCAGAACTGGATAGACTAACTCTAGAACTGAAAAATAAGGGGAATCAGAATATTAGGATACTTGGAATAAGTTTTGTCAATGGTTGCAGAAGAGAGGGGAAAGTCAGAACAAATAGTTAGGACAAATAGACCTAGAGTGTGAATATTGTACTAACAATATGAATGTTAATGGTTTGGTAATATCTTTGTATGCGTGGCAGAATGATGCCAGAATGGTTGCGCTGTGTTTCATCTTTATAGTTGTAAACAATAAAAATATATTGTTTTAAAAAAGAATTTCAAACAGTCGGTAAACAAGTCATAAGTCCTGCAATTCTGTCTTGAGTTGTCCCCGCTTTCAACCGTCTCAATTTATTGCTCTGTAGCCGGTTTTGGTGGAGTACGCAAGAAACGTAAGGCTGATAATTAGATTTTACAGATGGACGGCATGTGAAGAGTTGGGAGTTGACCATGCTTGCTTGTTCATACGTGGGTTCTTGGGTCATCATGATCACGTAAAATCAGGATCTTTGTTTGACCTCTTGTTTCTTTTTCAGGTCCTTGGCCGTTGGCAGCGTGTTGGGCTACAAATTTTTCTCTCTCTCTTCGGTGGATAAACTGGAGCAGATCTACGAGTGCAGTAAGTGGGGGTTTTGGGGGGAGGTTCTTTTTTCTCACTTTTCCTAAATTACGGCCGCAGGTCGAGGCAGGATTTCTTAGCCACCTCAGCGTGAGAATGTATGGACTTCAGTTCCTAGTTTTAAGTCGCTTTTTTCAGTCCTGCTGTAACTTTGAGCAGTCACTAAACGAATGGTTGTACATCAAGGACTACCTCTATAGTGGGACCGTTCCGATTTTCAATATGAGGAAGTTTTCTGTGGAACTGAAGCAGCTTCATGAGGCCTTGGCTCATGTACTACTCACGAATAAAGGCGAATGTACGTCTCCTAGAATAATAATGTTGCAGGACCCGATTTGGGTCGGTCACTGGGACCAAAGGTTTAGTCTTTTGGACTGTGCAGGAACCCATCCTCAGGAAATCTCTCTCTTTCTCTCTCCAGAATGGGTGCATTGGGTTATTCTGTGTGTGGTACTTGTATGGTACCTGTTGTGTGTGCCTTTTTTAGTGTTTGATTGGCATGTTGACGGCTGGCTATGAAGCCGTTGGCTGTTGACATTCAGTTTTACAGCTTCTAAGATTGTTGGACGAGCAGGCACAAAACCAGCCAGGGAAGCGATTGAATCCTGGGAAATGGGCCCCTCGTCAGTCAACAGAAATACCGATTTACCCCGCAGCTTATCAGGAGGCAAGGACTTGGCAGCCCAAGGAAACAACAGCCAACCGCTCAATAACCAGCCATCAACACCCCAATCTGTTGTTGGCTGTCGCTTGCTTTTGCATCCCTGGCTGTTTTTGTGCCTGCTCGTCCAACAGTCTTAGTTAGCTGCAGAATTGAACATATGTCAACAGCCAACGACTTAATAGCCAGCCATCAATGCCCCCATCAACAACTCAAAAGCCACACATTGAGCAACCCAAAGCGCACACTCTGCTAGAGAGAAGTTCCCTTAGGATGGGCTCCGGCGCGAGTTCGAAAGACTGAATCTCTGATCCCAGATTAGATCCTATGTCAGTGCTCCAACACGCACCCCCATTCAAATCACAAGTCTCTAGCCGCATCTCAGAGTAAAAAAAGATTGATTTATTAGGAGTTGACCTGTCGGTGTTTCCTGGTTGCAGCCGACACTAAAATACATCATTTCCCCCTTGATCCTGGTCTTCCCCATCCCCACCCCCCTGGATTCTCCAATGGGACACTTCCATAGCCAAGAGTCATCAATCATGCTCTCCAGTAATATTCTTGCGCGCCAACAGCTTTGGGCTGCCAAGGCGATTATCTGAGGCATTTAAGGAATGCGCTGCTTTCCCCCACTCGCTTTTCTGCTGGCAGCTAAAAAGACCAAAGGGGTATTTTTTTTTAGTTGACATCCCATGTGTACAATTCGCGTGAAGCGCCCACTTCATCTCGGGCTTCCTTGAATTTCTCGGACTATCTCAGAGAGCAGAGTGACATCTGTCAGCTGGGATGAACTCATGAATCAGAACCTCTTAACGATACTCACTTCCTGGCCTTTTTCCTAGTTGGCCAACACCGACTGCAATGCCATTTGATACGTTAAGATTTATATTAATAGCTCCGTCCCAGGAAGCCTCACTAGCAGCCTGAAATGTGTTTAGCGGCACCAATTTTGACCGGCTTTTTTATTTACAGCTCTCAAAGCTCCAGCAAGTGGAGGGATTTTGCCCCCTCTTGTTCTTTCGCCTTCACCCACTTAACAGCTTCTCGCTAAAAGATGGCAGGCTATTTATAGGCAGCTGTGCTTGGAAATGGCAACCTATTGATCCACAAGAGAGAGAGAGAGAGAGAGAGAGAGAGACGGTCTCTGGCTGGCAGTAGTTTAATTGACTGCCTCCATGTTCTGGTTCAGCTGGAAGTGGTCTGCCTCTTAGACCCGTGTCCCTCTGCCCTTGTTTTCAAATGATCTGCGAACTGCTGAAGCTCTTGTGTCCGCTTGTAACTTCCAAAGGGTGGGTTGTGGGGCCACAGCGATTGAATCAACGAGCTTCAGATGGGGTAACTTTGAAAGAATGTGTCCCAGATCACGAAAAGTGTGGGATAGAAACTTAGCAAAGCTGCTTCAGTGCTGACGCAGTCCCGTGATCGTTATTTCCAGCATTCCCGGTACAGTTTGCTACGAGGAAAGTCAATGGGAAAGCCGGCAGGAAGTCGGAAGTTATTCCCCTTACTTTTCTGCCTGCCTCATCCTATTTCTCTGCTTAGCGAGGAAGTACCCCTGAATATTTTGCAGGAATTAGGTAGGGCTAGTCTAGGGAAAAGAAGGACTAGGGGTGACGCAGTCTTTCCATATTCCAGGGGCTCCCCCAAAGAAGAGAGGGGGTCAGCCTGTTCTCCAGAGCACCAGAAGCCAGGAGGAGAAGCAATGAAGGAAAACGAACCAAGGAGAGAGAAGCAACCTAGAACTAAGGAGAAATTCCCTGACAGTTAGAACAATCAATCAGTGGAACAACTTGTCTCCAGAAGTTATGAATGCTCTAGCACTGGATGTTTTTAAGAAGAAATTGGACAACCATTTGTCTGAAGTGGTATAGGGTCTCCTGTTAAAAGCAGGGGGGGTGGACTAGAAGACCTCCAAGCCTCCCTTCCAACTCTTGTCATTCTGTTAAGAAATGAGAGCCCCACAGACAGGAAGTCTAGACGCCCGACGTTCTAGCCAGGCCCCCACCTAGAGACCTCCTAGATAGGTTTCTTTGGGGTGGGGGGGGGTTGTGCCCCACGAGCTCTTTCCTCTCCTGCATCTGCAGCTAACCCAGTTCTTGGTTCTTCTGTCTCTGTTCCGTGCCGCCACCCCGTTCCCTTTCCACGCTCGCCTTCCAGATGACACCGAAGACGTGTGCATCGTGGAACGGCTCTTTTCCAGCAGCCTGGTAGCCATCGTGAGCCTCCGGGCGCCTCGCAAGCTGAAAGTCTGCCACTTCAAGAAAGGGACGGAGATCTGCAACTACAGCTACTCCAACACGATCCTGGCCGTCAAGCTGAACAGGCAGGTGAGTGGAGGGACCCGCTCAGGTGAGCTGCTGCTGGCATGGCGGTGAGAACGCAGTATTGCAGGCTAACTCTGCCAACTACCAGCCGTTTGATCCTTAACAAATTCCTCACTTAGCAACATACATTTTGGGCACGGTTGTGGTCGTAATACAAGGACTACCTGTATCGTGCTACTGCTATCTGCTTCTCTCTCTCTCTCTCTCTCTCTCCTTTTTTTATTTCCCCCTCCCAGAGATTGATTGTCTGCCTAGAAGAGTCTCTGTACATACATAACATTCGGGATATGAAGGTGTTGCACACCATCAGGGAGACGCCCCCGAATCCTGCGGGTAAAGATGCTCCTACCTCTCCTTTGATCCCCCCCTCTGACGCTGATACCTTTCCGCTCCTCGTTTTACATCCAAAAGAGCTTGTTGGGCTGTTGGGTGGGCTTGTTCATCTGGGAGATGTTAGCATTAGGCAGGAACGACCAGGACCACGTGGGAAGTTGCAGTTAAACTGGTTTATTCCTACTAACTCCCACGCACAGATATCTACTCAACTAGTTAATTTATTACGAGCATCCTTCAGTCTCCAGAGACTATGGTATCGTGCTATGAAACGGCAGCTGCCACTTCCCGTCTTGTTTCAATGCCGTATGCAAAGCTCTCCAGAGCACCAAGGCCTGGGTAATTTAATATTGGGGGTGCGGGGGTGTAAACTATTACCCAAACAGCAGATTCCCCCCCCCCCATGTCACTGAAGTAGACTCTAATGGAACGGCAGAGCCGCGACAATTAGTTCTAGCTGCACCGCGGGAGTTACCAGAATGTGATTGTACACAGTCACGAACTGCTTCTGGGACTCCGGCTCTGGATTTGGCAGGGCAGAAACTTCAGTCACCTAGTTACTATCTTGGAAAACATGTATGGAATGCGCTTTCGGTTTTGCAAGCTGCCGCAATGCTCCCCCCCCCCCTCTCTTTCTGTTGGCAACTCTAAAAAGACCAGAGAAATATTTTATGAGTTGACACAAAGTCCGTGAAGGGTGCGTAATATTACCATCGTAATGAATCTTGATTCTTTGAACACGGTTTCGAAAGGGAGCGCGCGTCCGATCGTGCCGTTTCCTGTTTTTCTAGGATTGTGTTCCCTGTCCATAAACAACGATAACTGTTACCTGGCCTATCCGGGGAGCGCGACCATTGGCGAAGTCCAAGTCTTCGACACCATCAACCTGGTAAGATCCCGCCGGGCTCTTGACCCCGGGAATTGGGGATTGTTTGCGGGGGGGGGGGGGGGCCGGGGGGGCAGGAACCTCCACCCTGCACTCAGGCCTCGCGTTCCGTTCTCGGGCTTCTCCGCAGAGGGCTACCAACATGATCCCCGCTCACGATAGTCCGCTGGCCGCCCTGGCATTTGACGCGAGCGGTACGAAGCTAGCCACCGCCTCGGAAAAGGTGAGGCTCCCGTCCCCTCTCTGGGAAGAAGGGGAGGGAGGGAGGGGGGAGGAACTTGAGTTGGATCCCGAGGGGTTCTCGAGCGAACCGGACAGGCAGAGGAAGGGAGGAGTCACGTCGAGGAGACGGGCTTCTTTGGACGGCTTCCCTTTTTCCCGCAGGGCACGGTGATCCGGGTGTTTTCCATTCCAGAGGGGCAGAAGCTCTTCGAATTCCGAAGGGGCATGAAAAGGTGATTGTGGGATTGCAGCCTCAGGTTCAAGGCTGCGTGGACTGTTCCCTTCCCAAGGGTTTCAGCAAACAAAAGCGGTCCCTTCCTTCCCTCCATCCCTTCATCCCTCCGTTCTCCTCCCTCCTCCTGTTCTCTTCTTCTCTCCCTCCCTCCTCTCCTCCCTCCTTTCCCCTTGCTCTTCTATTCCTTCCTTCTTTCCTTCCCTCTTTCCTTTCACCTCTCCTATTCTCTCCCTCCCTTCCTTCCTTCCTCTCTCCCTTCCCTTCATCCCTCCTTTCTTCTCCCTCTCCTGTTCTCTTCTTCTCTCCCTTCGTCCCCTCCCTCCTTTCCCCTTGCCCTTCTATTCTTTCCTTCCCTCTTTCCTTTCACCTCTCCTCCTATTCTCTCCCTCCCTTCATCCCTCCTTTCTTCTCTTCTTCTCTCCCTCCCTCCTTTCCCCTTGCCCTCCTATTCCTTCCTTCTTTCCTTCCCTCTTTCCTTTCACCTCCTATTCTCTCCCTCCCTTCCTTCCTTCCTTCCTTCCTCTCTCCCTTCCCTTCATCCCTCCTTTCTCTTCCCTCTCCTGTTCTCTTCTTCTCTCCTTTCGTCCCCTCCTCCCTCCTTTCCCCTTGCTCTCCTATTCCTTCCCTTCTTCCTCTTTTCACCTCTCCTCCTATTCTCTCCTTCCCTCCCTCCTTTCGCCTCTCCTCCTCTTCTCTCCCTCCCTTCCCTCTTTACCGGGGTTGCCCCACCGTCTCTTTGCCTCCGTCCCCCCAGGTGCGTCAGCATCTCTTCCCTGGCCTTCAGCATGGACGGCATGTTCCTGTCGGCTTCCAGTAACACGGAGACGGTGCACATTTTCAAACTGGAGACTGTGAAAGAGAAGTGAGTGTGGGGAGGGCAGGGCGACCCCCCCCCACCCCCCTCGGCTTAAACCCGGGGCGACCGAAGGGAAGGGGGTGACTGGCCTCATCAACCGGGCCCCTTACAGCAGGGAGAAAAGTTGGGGAGGGGGATAGAGGGGCGTGGGGTTGTGTCCCGTGCTAACTCTGCCTGCGATTTGGGGGGGATTGTGGTTTTTCTGCAGCGACACAAAAAAATAGTTAAGTCCAAAAAAAACAACAACACTTCTTTGCAAAGAAGAGCCAGCCCCAACCTGTTGGAAGGGCAGCCACGTTTTTAAAGGGGCAGTTTTGAAGACCCTCTCCCCTCCCTCCCTCCCTCCCTCCCTCCCAGACCTCAGGAGGAACCGACAACCTGGACGGGGTACTTTGTGGAGACCATTCGGACGTTCCCAAACTACCTGCCCGCCCAGGTGACCGAAATGTTCAACCAAGGCCGAGCCTTTGCAACGGTCCGGCTCCCCTTCTGTGGGCACAGAAACATCTGCGCCTTGGCCACGTGAGTAGCGGCACGGCAGGAGGTGGAGGCTGAGGGAGCCCCTGGGGGGAATCCCAGGTTTGCCCCTGGGCAGCGTTGGTCATAGTCCTGCAAGCTTGGAGACCCCGACTCCTCCGGCTCCTCCTCTCCACAAACCTCAAACCCCTCCCCTTCCTTCTTGCACGGCTAATATCACATAGTCGGCTCATGAAATGTCTTCAGGAAAACCACCAAGCTCAGAGAGCACCATGGATCCCATAGTCGTTCTCCTCCTCCTCCTCCTCCTCCCTTCTAGTACCGATGATGTTACCTAGTGGAGTCATGAAAGGTCTTCAAGAAAACAACCAAGCTCAGAGAGCGCCACGGATTCCATAGTCCTCCTCTTCCTCCTCCTCCTCCTCCTGCTGCCCTGCAGATCCCCTCCACACCCAGATGCAAAAGAACGTGGAGGCCACTTTCATGCCTCTGAAAGGTGTATCACTCCCGTTCAGCATCCAGCTCATTTGCTTCCCTGAACCGTCTGTACTTCCTTCGGTTGTGAACAGCAGAGTTGGCCCCATAGAAGGAACAATCTGGGATGAAGGGTTGTTTTCTGCTTCAAGACCTGTGAATAGGTAGACCTTCCCTTGAAAGCTGGTGAATTGTGGGGAGACTTTGGCGCTCTCTGATCTTGCCGGTTTCCTTGCAAGATGTTGCATGACCAACGCCAGCTGATGAATCTTGGTTTTTTTACCCCCAAAAAAGTTTGATTAAGTAAATTATTAAACACAACGGACGTGGTATGATCGTCCTTACAATCCTGTTTGTCATACGTATTATGGCATAGAATACATGTTTTATATACATTCGTACATTTATACAATATTTTCTATTCCTAATCATCCGTTCTTCCAGCCCTACTTACTTCTAATTCTGGATCCTTCCTTTTTCCCCACCATTGATAGAATTTATCCCATACTTTATAATATTCCGTCCATCTTTAGTGCAGGTCCATTTCTTTTTTATTACTTCACTTTCATCGGGAATTTCTTTCTCTTTCCACTTTTGAGCAAAGGCTAACCTTGCTGCCACGATCAGGTGTATTATTAAATAAATCACCTCTTTATTATATTTTTCTGTTACGATTCCGAGTAAGAAAAATTCCGGTTTATATTCCACTTTATGCCTCAAGCCACCTCTGAATTCTATGCCAAAACTCCTGGTTTTTTTCTACATTTCTACCATATGATCCGTATTCCTGGGTACATTTCCTATCAGTTGGGTGGTATATTTTGATACATTTGGGCCAGTTTTGCTAGAGGAAGATGCCACCTATAAAACATTTTATATAGGTTTTCCTTATACAATGTGGCCCATGTTATTTTTTTTTCTTTCTTTCCCATAAAGTTTGCCAGCTGATAAATCTTTTGATTCCTTCTAGAATTCAGAAAATTCCCCGACTGTTGGTAGCAGCTGCCGATGGGTATCTCTACATGTACAATTTGGACCCTCAGGAAGGGGGTGAATGCACACTGATGAAACAGCACAAGTGAGTCCTTTGCACAAAATTCTTATGCAGGTTGGTGTCATGCAATAGCACTTAGACTTATATTCCACTTCATGGTGCTTTTACAGCCTTCTCTAAGCAGTTTACAGAGTCAGCCTCTTGCCCCCCCCCAACAATCTGGGTCCTCATTTTACCCACCTAGGAAAGACA